ACCCCTGGCAACACTCCCCCCCCCTCCCCCCCCCCCAGCCATGCCCTGGCCCCGGCCACCACTCCAGGCCACAATGCCACCTCGTCTCTGACCACCAGCCATACCCTGGCCCCAGCCACCACTGCAGGCCACAATACTGCCTCGTCTCTGACCACCAGCCATACCCTGGCCCCGGCCACCGCTCCAGGCCACAATGCCACCTCATCTCTGACCACCAGCCATAGCCCGGCCCCGGTCACTACTCCAGGCCACAATGTCACCTCGTCTCTGACCACCAGCCATAGTCTGGGCCCGGCCACCACTCCAGGCCACAATGCCACCTCGTCTCTGACCACCAGCCATACCTTGGGCCCAGCCACCACTCCAGGCCACAATGCCACCTCGTCTCTGACCACCAGCCATGCCTCGAACTTGGCCACTACTGCTGGCCACGAAGCCACCTCATCTCTGCCCATCAGCCGTGCCACAAGCTCATCTTCCACTCTGCTGCACAGTAGCACCTCTGCCAGGGCCACTACCTCAGTTGGCCAGAGGACATCATCCTCTGTTTCCAGCCACCACTCTGACACTCCCACCACCCGTGCCAGCCCCAGCACCCACACGCTTGGCAGCCACTCTAGCTCTCACACGGCACCCTCTCCCGCCACCTCCAGCTCCAGCGCACCCCAGTTGTCAGCCAGGATCTCTCTCTTTGTCCTGACTTTCACCATTTGGAACCGCCCGTTTAATTCTTCCCTGGAAAATCCCCAAAACAGCTACTACCAAAAGCTGCAGAGAAACATTTCTGCTTTGGTGGGTATCTGCCTCTCCGCCATGCCCCTCGTCAGCAGCCTTAGAACTGCCGAACCCTCCCCACCAACCCCGAGTCCTTTTCTTCTCGCCCCAGTTGTGGCAGATTTATAACCAGGAGGGTTTCCTGGGCGCCTTCGATATCACCTTCAGGTACAGTTGGGGCTGGGGGCTTGGGGTGGGGCGGGGGGGGGGCTGGGGGATGCCGCCCTGAGTGGGGGGGGGGGGGCGGGGGGCTCGGGAAAAAGTGCATTCGTGGCAGGGATGTGCTGAGCTGAAGAAGCTGGCCAGAAGCCAGCCCCCCTGGCTGAGCTGCCCAACCCCCTGTGACCAGGCCAGGCTCCGTGGTGGTGGGATCCTTGCTGGCCTTCCGAGAGGGTGCCCCCAGTGCCCACGACGTGGAGACACGGCTCACTCAGCAAGAAGCGGACAGTTATGACCTGAGGGTCTCCAGAGTCAGCGGTGAGGCCACTTTCCCAGCCGCGGTCCAGCACCACGCCAGGGCCCTCTCCTTCCAGCGCCTGGGTTCCTGCCCCACCCCGCCCCGTGGTGCCAGCCGGGGGAGGGTCCCCTCTTTTGGGAGAGGGCCCTGACTACTGCTTTTCTCCGCAGTGCGTGACGCGACGCTTCCTTCCTCTGCCCAGTCTGGGTCGGGGGTGCCAGGCTGGGGCATCGCCCTGCTGGTGCTTGTCTGCGTTCTGGTCGCACTGGCCAGCCTGTACCTCCTGGCGCTGGTGAGTGCTGTGTCTCTGGCCCTGACCAGGGTCCCCCCTGGTGGTGGAAGCCCCTGGCTCACGGCACCTCCTGTCTCCTCAGGCCGTGTGTCAGTGCCGCCGAAAAAACTATGGGCATCTGGACATCTTTCCGACCCGGGAAGCCTACCATCCTATGAGCGAGTACCCCACCTACCACACCCACGGGCGCTATGTGCCCCCTGGCAGTACCAAACGGAGCCCCTATGAGGAGGTGAGGGTGGGCTCGCAGGCCAGGACAGAGGTCTGGCTGGCCAGGGCTTCTGAAAGGATCCTTGGAAAACAGAACTAGTTTGGAGATGAGAGGTGGCCCCAGGTGGGGCAGTGGACCACCTTGGAAGTCAGAGGGGTTGGGGGGGGGCAGATCAGGAGAGGCGAGCACAAAGGAAAGGGACCTCAGGAGGAAGCACCTGCACCTCCGGCATTCCCCAGAGAGCACTGCCCGGCAGGCTCCAGGCTGAGCTGGCGCCATGGCTGCGCTGACTGGGATGCCCAGAGGCAAAATGGGTGACAGGTGGAGTGGGGCCAGGTGCTCAGGGAAGCCCTTCCTGTGGGGCCCCTCTCATAGGAGATGAGCACCTGAGTCCCCACTCATCCCCTGAGAGGGGACAGTAGACTGAGGAAGGCTCGGGTGGGGGCTGTGGTGTGGAGGAAGAAATCTCCCCCAGCCAGGTGAGCCTGGGTCCCATGGTGGCCTTCCAGTGCAAGGAAGCCAGGACCCCTCCCCCTCCCCCGGCCTTGCTCTGCTGGGCTCTAGTAAATAATTACTGCGCCAGAGGCCAGAAAGGCTCTGGCTGGGGAAGGAGAGAGGAGTTTCCTTTTCTTGCCCCCATTTTCCTCCTCCTGGGGACCTCCTTCTCCCAGTTTTAAAGACACACACACACTCACACACACTCACACACACACTCTACGTGGGGCTGGAAGAGCAGAGCATGCAGGAAGAAAAGGGAGGGAGAGGAAGGCCAGGGGGCTAGATCTAGCCAAGGGGAGGGAGTGAGGGGAGCAGAGGGAGGGTGAAGGCCCTGTTTACAGTCACCTGGCCGCTGGTGGGGCTGGCAGGTGCTCTCTCCAAATTAACCCCTTGGGAGCTGGCCAGGCCCACTTCTGTTCCTCACTTCGATCCCTTTCCCCCCACTCAGGTTTCTGCAGGCAACGGCAGTGGCCTCTCTTCCACTAACCCGGCAGCGGCCGGCTGCCAACTTGTAGGGGCTTGTTACCTGCTGCTTGGCCAGCCTTCCCAGCCGCCCCCCCTGACTCTTTACCACTGGGCCCCTCCGCCCTGTTCTGGGTTGGGGAGCAGGAAACTCAGCTGAGCTGCTCACAGCCTTGCTTGCGCCCCCAGCAGCTGCCCTCACCCCTCGAAGCCTGGTGAGGCTGGTCCTGGCCCTGGGGCATGCCTGGGGCAGCAGCAGTGTGCGGTGGCTTCCAGGAAGAGAAGGCCCGGAAAGCCCAGAGACAGTGGGCAGGAAGCTGAGCCCCACTGAATAAAAACGTGGTCTTAGGGGGTGCCAACTTCTGCTCCTTCATCTGTGACCCAGGAGCAGGGTGGTCACAATGTCTGTGCGGACTGCAAGGGGCTTTTGGGGGAAGGAAGGACAAGAAGAGGGGGCTCCTTCGTGAAGCAGATGTAGGGAAGAGGTGGCCGGAGGACGCCGGCAGGAGTCACCTCTCCCCCATCCCTGGAGGCACAGGAGGAAGGAGGAAACGAAACCGAGGCAGCTGTGGAGGGCCAGCGTGACCGGGCACCGCCTGTGCGCTGCCCGTTGGCTTTCCCTCTGCCCGGGTTTCACTGGGGCCGGTGGCCCGCGCCCTCCTCTCCGCCTGGCACGGTGCCCCCAGGCGGCTCTATTCTTAGCTGCCTGAGTGTGAAGTAAATCCTTGGGCGGCGATAACAGCGCAGAGTCAACACGACCACGATAAGCAGGGGGCTGGATCAGATCCGGGCGCTGGCAAAGGGCCCGACTCCCTCCCTGGTCTCTGGCCCCTGCCTGCGGCCCAGCCTGCCTGCTGCCTCTGGGTGGGCTCCTTGGCACCCTGGGAATGGGGAAGTGGTTCTGGTTCCCTGACCCCTTTGGGCTCAGGCACCATGCCCGCTGCCCTCAAACGCATTCCCTCAGAGCCTCAGTGCAGCTGCCCGGTTGCCCCATCTGGAGCCTGACACCAGCAGCCAGTGCTGTGCCCCCTGGCGGCCATAGTTGGCGCGCCGGGGCTTGGTACCTGGTGGTGGCCGGAGGCTGGGCTGGGGGAACCTCCTTTCCACTAGTGCCAGATCCACCACACACTCCTGCCCCAATAACAGCAGAGCACCCTGGAGCCCACCCACCCACCACATAGAAACTAAGATGGCTGGTCACGCTCGGAGAGGGCAGAGGTGTGCCTGACATCACAGTTTATTGTTTATAAACCATGAAAATAACAGCTGTTGCTGGGCACAGGCCTGGCAGTGCCCACCGTAGGCAGAAGTGGGGGACACCAGAGACCTAGCCTGGCCCAACCCAGTGCGGGACTCCCAGCCTCAGCTGGGTCCCCAAGGGTGACTTGGCACGTTGGATGGGTGCAGGACAGGTAAAGCATGCAAGAGGGAGAAGAGGGACATAGGGGGCATGCGGCTGGGAGGTTTGGGGACCCCAATAAATAAAGCAGGAAGATAGGGTCCCCTCCCCATCTCCAGGGAGTGCCTGGGCAGAGACTGGCCTAAAAGCCTTCCTGCCCTAGGGCTGTGGAGTAGCATGGATGGGGCAGGTGGGGAGCTGGCGGCCGGCCGGGCAGAGCTGGGGGTCGCCGGAGTCCAAATGCTCTCCCTCCCATCAGCCTGGGGGACACGGGACAGGGGTGGGGAGGGGCTCTCTCCATGACTCAGGCAAGATGCTAGGGCAGAGTTGGGGCAGGGACTTGGGGAGGGGCCTGGGCTAACAGGTGATGGAGAGGATGGGGACACAGAGAAAGGCCCTTGGTCAAGAGAAAGCCCCAGAAGACAGAGACACAGGAGCACATGGGAGAAGGTCTTGGGAAGAAGCAGCTGGGGAAGCCACCTGGTGCCAGGAGGCTGGGGGGACAGGCCCAGGAGGACCCTAAGTCGGAGGAGGGCCTTAGAAGGGTCAGTCCAGCTTGGCGAAGCCCCCAATGGTGACCTTCCTCTCAGGCTTGGTGCCCACGGGCTCCTGGAGCTGCACTGCACCACCGCCAATGAAGCAGAAGGCGGGGCACACGGGCCCCGAGCAGTCCAGGGGGCACTCGAGGAGCCCGCGGAAGGACACGGCGTCCAGGAAGGACACCCGGCCGCGCTCGTAGTCCAGGCAGACGCCGAGGCGGGGCGGCAGTGGCACAGTGCAGTTGGCAGCCGGGCCGTCCCGGCCGGTCAGCCCCGCACTCGCGCTCGGCCCGGACCCCAGCAGGATCTTGCCCATGCCAATGGTCAGGAAGGCGAAGGGTGGCGACGCCTCCACGGTGGCATCCTCCGCGCCGCTGTCGTGTCCACTGTCCGGGTCGTACCTGCAGGGGCGGCAGGGAACAGGAGGCACTGGGGGGAGGAATGGGGTGCGGGAGGAGGGGAGGCTGGGACGCGGAGGGCCGTAGCTATGAAGGGATTGATTCGGGGCACTGAGTATGCTGAAGCCAGGGGTTCGCATGGTGAGAAAGGGGTACTGAGGAGAGCACACTGGGCATGAGGGCGCTGAAGAGGGAGGCGGGTGTGATAAAGTACGCTGAAGCCGCAGCCCAGTCCAGAGAGGAAGGGGAGGGCGGGAGAAGTGAGTTCAGAGGGGATGTTTCCAGGGAGAGGGTTTGGGGGAGGTTGCTGGAAGGTTAGGGATCCAGACTGGGGAGAAGGGAGAAGCAGAAGAGGGTGTTGGGAGGTGTCCCAGAGGGAGAGCAGAGTGGGCTGGTGTCAGAGAAGGGGGTGTCAGAGGGATGGGGGCTGAGGGAGACGGGGTTCAGGTGGGAGTCGGGGTAGGAGAAGCATTGGAAGAAAGGAGGTGGAGGGAAGAGCTGAGAGGAGGGGCTGGGGAGAAGTGTGTGGGAGGGACGTGTTACAGGGGTGCGGGTGGGACTTGAAGGGAGGGTGTTCAGGATGCTGGGGAAGGTGTGGCTGAAGGTGGTCTTTGTGGAAAAAGGTGCTGGAAACCTGGGCGCTGGGAGAACGACCTGGGGGCTGAGCGAGTTGGCATGTTGGTCCCGAGTGACAGGTGGAAGGAGTGGCCTGGTCCCCCTCCTACCATTGCCTTCCCGCCCACACACTTGGAAAATCAAGCCTCAGAAACCCTTTTGCTGAGCCCACCTCTCCTGGCCACGGGCTTCCCAGCCTGGCTTCCCTGCTCCTCCTACTTCCTCCCCATCCACCCCACCCCTCCAGACCCAACCTGCAAGGCTGCATTCCCATGGCCACCCTGCCCTGCCCCAGCTCCCGCCCAGGGTCCCAGAACCCCAACTCTTCCAGAGAGGCCTGACCTGGGGCTGATCACATCCGGGGCACCCTGGAAGCTTTCCTGAAGCTTGCTCTCCAGCCCGACGCCCACCTTGACCAAATAGGAGGCTGGGTCTACAGCGCAGGCCCAGTAGCTGCGGCCCTGGGTCACAGCCACATCGCCCAGGACCACGTCCACGCTCAGGTGGCAGCCTGTCAGCAGCCGGTCAGCAGCCAGCAGCAGGGGCAGCCCTGGAACGCTCCGCACTGCTCGCTGGTCCTTGCTGATGGCCAGCCGCTCTCGGCTCGCACCCCAACGGCCATCGAGGAAGAAGTGCAGGACTGGAGTGGGGGAGGGTTGAGACAGAAGGAAGGATTTCAGGGACAAATGTTGGCACTGGGGACTGTGAGGTGTTAGCACAAGACACCGGGAGAATTCAGAACAGGGAACGCATTGCCAAAGAGTTCCATCCCTGGGAAAGGCAGGGGGTCCAGGGGAATGGGGCTGAGAGAGCTGCAAGGGGGAGGCATGAAGAAAAAAGAAGGGGCATTCCAAATGGGCATAGCACCCCATGAAGAGTTTTAGTGGTAACCAGAAGGCACAGAAACCAGTGTCCCAGGTCCAGCTGACTCGCCATGCTTCCTCCAACCCCCTCCCGCGGCTGGCCCCATGGACAGTCCCCACTGTCGTTCTGTGCTACCCGGTAACGTTCACACCACCATTCACCTATGCCTTCCAGCCCACCTGGCCCTCCTACAGGGACCGGTCCTCTTATGCCCCCTGCTTAGGTGGCAAGAATTCCCTCTTATCCTATGCCCCAGGGCCTAAACTACTGGGTTATTTTTCTATGAAAAAATGCGTCATGACTTTTCCAACAACCCAATATTTCTTAGTTACTTTAAAAGAAATTTGCTAAAAGGTGCGAGTGCTCCCCAGAGAAAGAGAAAGGGAGAGGGAAAGTGAGAAATCACCCTCTAGGGGGATGGCCATGCCACAATTCCTTCTCTTCCATCCTCCTCTCAGGATTTTGGGCATGCCATAGGGCTTGAACCAAGACTTGAACCACGCAGTCAGTCACATGGGATCCAGTACCTTAACCCTCATACCACTTGCTGACTTGAGGACCCAACCTTTTTTTTTTTTTTAAGTTTTTGTTACCGTGTGTGGGCCCTCACCGGAGAGAGACGGGGA